TCCAGCCTCAGAGGGGCAGGATGGGGGGTGGAGACAAGGTTCTGTGGGGTAAGTGGGGAGTCAGTCACATCACTCTTCCATGAGAAGACACTGGAGTGCACACACCATCACTGGAGGCGCCTTCTCCTTTCTGTTTTCCAAGAGCTGAGATATTTTATTGTCACTGTGTAAAGGTCCATTAGCGCCGGTCCTGGACAATGGCACTTTCAAGGTCAGTGAAACACAAGCAAGGAGCAAATTGAGAAATTACTTCAATGTGGAGCTTCACGGCAGCCTTAAGTTGCAGAGAGAAGGCATCCAGTCGAAAGGGAGGCTCTGCACCCAGCTCCACCTGCCACCCTTCAGGACAGCATGTTCTCTGATTAAACAGGAGGCAGTGTGATACCTGCCCATAATCCCAGCTACTCAGGATGCTGAGGCAGGAAGAGCACAAGTTCGAGGCCAGCATGGGCAACATAATGAGGCTCTGTCTCAAAATTTTTAAGAGCTGGGGATGTAACTCTGGCAGAGCACCCCTGAGTTTATCCACAGTCCCCCAAATGGGCTGCTGCCTCTGGAATGTCACAGGTACAGTTGCAGGCCAGGGGCTCCAGACACCCTGCAGGCTGATATCTCCCACAGCCTCCACATCCTTCTCAGTCCAGCTCCGTGCCCCAGGGCTGATCTATCCCCATGGCCTCAGCTCCCTGTTGGGCTCATCCAGCAGAAGCCCCCAGTAGAAGGCCCCAGCAAGAGGTTGGGGGGTGGCATGGAGGCCAGCTGGAGAACCTGTTTGAAAAGCCGTAAGCACTTCAGAGTCTCCAGCCCTCCATTTAAAGCAGAAACATCATGGATTGAGGCGATACTCTTAAGTGAAATAAATAAGACACACATGTCTAAATACTGAATAGTTTCTCTAGTGTGAGAAACTGAAAGTATAAATGGGGATCAAAATGTATAATAGATAATGTGAAATAGGAAGAAAAGGGGCAAAGGGGAAGGGGAAACAGGAAAGGTAGGGGAATGGAAAGAAGGGAAAGGAAAAAAATACGAGCAAAGGAAAAAGCAGAAACAAAGTCTTTGTAAATCAGGGGGGTGGGGTTAAAGGGAGGGCAGGGGAATGGGGAAAAAATAACCAAGACACATCATGTAAAGGTACAAATTCCCAATGATGAATGTCATCATATTGCAGACCTAAAATGTACCAATAAACTTAATGAATAATTTTTTTAAAAAGCAGAAATGTTGTAGGCCTCAAATAGTTAGCTTCAGGAATGTCAACTGGGTTTACCAAGCCACTTTCTGACCTTCAGGGCAGGGACCAGGATGTCCATACCCTTCAGGTCTACACAGGGCCTGCTAAGCAGGTTGAGCTGGTCCCTTCCTCAGAAGACCCTTCTTCCTTGGCCAAGTTCACGAAACCTAGAGGCAGTAGCTAACCTACAGGCAGCTTCTAGGACAGAGAGTGGGCCTGAGAAGGAGAAACATATCAGTGACCAGAGACAAAGCCAGGGTGGCGTCTCCCAAATCCTTTCCCACTCTCTAGCTTTGGCTTCAGATTTCCTGGAAAGAAACCACATTCCCTCAGTGTTATGGCTTGTATCTAGATCCCCACCCCCACCCCCAAAGCCTCATGTCCTCATACGTGGAGCTTTTTGCAGGTGGCTGGATCTAGAGTGTGTGAATATGGATTAAGGGTATGTGATAAGTAAATTAGTCCATGGATTGGTAGCATAAACCTGGGTGTGGATAGTACCATCCAATAGGCTCATAGCCTGAATGAAATAAAAGGAAAAGAAGGCTTACTGCTTGCTGCCTCCTGCCTGCCTTACCATAGACTGTTTCTCCTCTTCAGTGCCCTTCTGTCATGCCACCTTCCCTTTGAGCCAGCTGACTATGGACTAAAACCCTTATACACTGTGAGCTGAAATAAACCTTTCCTCCTTTAACTGGTGAGTGTCAAGTATTTCATTCCAGAAACAAGAAAGTAATTAAGACACTCAGCAAACATCCATGGAAAACTCATCCAGGTCACACTGAAATCAGCTACTGAGGCCATAAACACCAAAAATCTCAGCTCTGTCACCAGGAGCTTCTGACCTAGACCCAACCAGTTTCCCCAGCCCAGCTACCAACATGGTGACCGGGTGGGTCACCCTGACCTGGTCAAATCCAGCTTGACCACTTAGCAGATGGGGGCTCTTGAGTAAGGAGCTTAACCTGAGTTCCCTAAAAGTAAACTCTGACATAATGATTTGGGTGCAGGTAATTTCTCTGGGGTATAATCCCAGGAAACAAGGATGGGGGACTGGGGAAGTATGATGGGAGAAGGAAGAAAGCCAACAAAAGGTAAATTAATGTACATTTACCACTATGAGTAGCTCAGCCCTACAGGGAGCCCAGAGAGACTGGGTAGATCACCACCTCCTGAACTGTCCTATCAGGACATGGACTTGTGGTATTTGTCAGCCAAGCTTTGCCCTCACTGATCAGGGACTTGGGGCATTCTCCAGGGTGCCAACTCCATGGCACTTCAGATCAGCCCAGTCCTCAGACCAGACACTCCCTGAGCCAGAGACAGGAAGTCACATGTTCATGCAGAAATGGTCTATAGTTGACCTCAGACATGGACCAAGGCACTCACCACAGCTGGTCAAATTACTTCTCTGAACCCTCAGTAAAATGAGGAGGAGATTGTTGTAAACACTGAGCTTCACAATGTGCCAGGTGCACACTTAGACCATGCCTGGCACTGGACAACAGCCCCATGCCCGGCAACAGTGGCTGTTCCAGAGCTGCAGCAGCACTGTGAGCATGTGTCTTAGAGGACAGAGGTCCCAGAGAGGAATGTGACTTGGAGCAGGAGGTGGCCTTCTGGAGGTGGAGGCATATAAGGATTGGGTGGTGTTTGGATCTGCAAGAGAGGATCCAATTTGAAGACCAGGTTTTCCCTTGGGAAATCACTGATGTTGTGGCTCTGGAAGGAAGCCCAGAGGGACTTTAGAGCCCTTCATGAAAAAGTGGGAAGCCAAGGCCAGAGAGAGGAGGTGGCTTGCCTGATGAGCAGTGAATTAGGCCTCATAGCCCAGGCTGGACCCAGCCCATCATCCTGCCCTCAGCCTGGAAGCCCTGCCTCATCCAGATGGCACCCTGGGCCTGAGGCACCATTAAAGTAGGTGCCAGTTCTTGAAGGACCAGCTGCCCAGGTCTGCCATCCAATTCCCTCAACACTTGAGATTCTCACAAAAACACCCAGTTGCATCTGTGATGAAGCCAAGTGTCACAACCCAGGAAAAGAAATCTCAGATTGAGCCCAGTCGTACGTTCCCCCCAAATCTGCCATGTGAATATCATCCTTTCATTCTGTAAACTTGTACTGAGTGCTCTTAGAAGCCAGGCGCTGTGGACCAAGGCTGGAGGAGGAGACAAACCCAAGTCAGTGGCAATCATACCATAGAAGCATGATGTCCAAGAAGGGTTAAAGAACCATGGGAAAGCAGATAGGGCAGCAACTGAGTGTGCCAGGGGACAGAGGAGCTGACACTTGAGTCAGGCCCTAAAGCATACATAAAAGTTCATCTGGCAAAAGAAAAGAAGCCTTGGGAAAAGACATTCCAGATGTAAGAAGCAGCATGAACAAAGAAGTGAGGCATGGAATGTTTGTGAAAAGCTGAGAAGTTTGTCATGGCAAAAAGCCCAGGTAGAGGGGATCGGTTGGGCCAAGACTGGAGAAACAGGGTGAGGAAACAGTTGTTCACAGTAGTCTGGGTCCTGACTGGACAGCCCTGTGCTCACATCAGTTGCTAAATAAGATGGCTATCATGCCTATGGGGAACACAAACCATCAACAGAGAATTGAAAAGGTCTTTTCACAGAAAAGTCCCTCTGTGCACATGGTCAGGATGGCCCAATGCTGCAGAGGAGAGCAGACCAGCTCCCAAGCCTGTCTGCTTTACCTCTCACTGTACCCAGGAGCTTCCCAAGCCATCTGTAAGGTAGACCCAAGTTCCCACATCCCTCTGTGAATGAGACTCTCAGAATGTACTGGAATGTTCTGGAAGGTCCCTCATCTCACAGGTGAGTTACCAGAGATGAAGCAGGAATTGATAACACATGTATTCATTCCACTGATACTGGAGTGGCCCCCCAGTGCCAACCAGTACCCTCATCCTCAAGGACACCACAGAGAACTAAGCAGCCAAGAGTGTAAGTCTTGTGGCAATCACATAATGGCAGAGAAACAAAATAAATAAAATAAGATAATAACTCAGACTGTGAGAGACTCAGTGAGGGAAAAAAAACAAAGTGATGTGATGAAGGCTGGGAAAACTATAGCCCTGGGGCCAAATTCAGCCTGCAACTCTTTTTGTGTGACCAGCAAGTGAAGGATAGTTTTACAGTTTCACAGCTGGGGGGTGGGGGCGGGTAACAGGATAAGAAAAAGAAAATGCAACAGAAATCTTAAGATCCATATTGCCTAAAACAGTTCCTATCTGGCCCTTTCCAGAAATATTTGCTGAGAAAAGGGATATCTCTCTCAACTAACAAGACCCAGGTCCAGGTCTTACAACATGGTTTCTTTCTATTCCTCAGCACCTCCTCTGCCTTAGAGAAGATGAAGCATTGCCCTGGTTCATCAAAAATTCATATACTTGGCCACCTGCCCATTAGCCAAGGGCCCAGATACCTGGGCTCCTTCCCCACCTGCTGTCTGAGGTCTGACTCAAACCAGAGTCTGTCTGGTCCTTTATCAAGCCAGAGCTAGCCGGGGATTTAGCTCAGTGGTTTCACTGCCTGCTGCACAAGTGCAAGAACCTGAGTTCAATCCCCGGTACTACAAAAAAAAAACAAAACAAAAAACTGCATGTTTTTGGGCCAGGGGTTTAGCTCAGTGGTTCTGCCGCCTCCCTTGCAAGTGCAAGGACCCAAGTTCGATCCCTGGTACCAAAAAAAAGTCAAGCCAGAGCTATACCTGCTCCTCTGTAACAGGCCGACCAGGGAGCCCCTGCCCCTCCACTTACCTCTTCCTCTGCCTGAACCCCGGGTTCTAAAACAGAACCACTGGACGGCTACTTCATGGTACCTCTCTGCAAATCCACAATGTGGATTCTTGTCGGAGACCAGAGGAGAACTGAGGTCTGATTGGCCTCCTCTGTGAGCACAAAGGAGAAAGGCTGCACTCCAGGGCGATTGCATATTACAGGTTCTAAGGAAAACTCCAGACAGCTGAGGTAAAGTTGTTTACCAGAGTGTGTACTAAGGGATATCAGAAAGCAGCTGAGTCTTGTGTTACTTTTGATCGCTTGTACCCATGTTTGGGTGAATAAAGGCCAGACAAGTCAGACTTGGGGGTTCCTCTGCCAACTAGAGGCAAGAGCCCTCGGGCTGCCCGCATGCTAAACTGACTCTGTGTCTTTTTACCATTTATCCTCCTTCACGCCCCCAACCCCATCAGGGAGAACAAAGTAGCAGGTCCCAGAAGAAGCCGGCCAGGTGGGCTCTGCTACAGGTGGGGCCCCAACATAGGCTCAGGACCCGGGCTTGGCTATAGATACTCTGCCTTGTTTTAGTTCAGTCAAATAAATTCCTCAAGCCATGGCCTAGAGTTAACTTTCAAAATCTGGCATCGTGGTGCATTCCTGTCATCCCAGCACTCAGGAGGTTGAGGCAGAAGTATCACCATGAGTACAAGGCCGCCCTGAATTACAAGGCAAGACCCTGTCTCAAAAAATAAAAAAATTTGGGCCGGGGATTTAGCTCAGTGGTTTCACTGCCTGCTGCACAAGCGCAAGGACCCGAGTTTGATCCCCGGTACCAAAAAATAAAGTAAAATAAAAAATAAAAATGAAAAATAAAAAATTTAGGGCCAGGGATTTAGCTCAGTGGCACTGTGCCTGACTTGCAAACACAAGGTCCTGAGTTCAATCCCAGGTACCAAAAACAAGAAAAAAAAATTACAAATTTTAAAGATGTTTTTAAAAGCCTGGCATCATTCAAGATGGGAAGCAATGTTCACAACCAAATCAAACATGTAAGTCTAGCTCTCCTGAAAACATGGTCCATAAAACAAACTCACACAGCAATTATGAACCAAAAGCCACATGGAGCAAGAGAAGTGCCCTAAATCCCTGCTCAAGACTCAGCAGCATCTGTGAGACATTCCACAACATTCTGAGCTAAATGGGAATCAAGTAAACTCTTAAAAAGTTTGTCTCATGCAGATGAAAACAACACTGAGATTCAACCTCACCCCACAAAGAATGGCTGCTATCAAGAAATTAACCAATAACAAATGCTGGCGGGGGTGTGGAGAGAAAGGAACCCTGCTCCATTGTTGGTGGGAGTGCAGACTGGTGCAACCACTGTGGAAGTCAGTATGGAGATACCTCAAAGAACTAGGACTACAGGTCCCATTTGACCCAGCTATTCCCCTACTGGGAATCTTCCCCAAAGAATTAAAAGAATCATACCACAGCGATATATGTGCACCCATGTTTATAGTGGCACAGTTTGCAATTGCTAAAGCTTGGAAACAGCCCAAGTGCCCATTGACTGGAAACTGGATAAAGATGTGTTTTTTTTATAAAATGGAGTACTACTCAGCCATAAAGAATGAGAAACTAGAGACATTTATAGCTAAATGGATGCATATTGAGGCTATGCTCTTAATTGAAAAAAAATAGGACACACATGTGTAAATACCAAATAGTTTCTCTAGTGTGAGAAATTGAAAGTGTAAATAAGGATGAAAATGATTAAAATGAATGATTGACAATTTGAAATAAGAAAAGGTCCAAGGGTTTGGGGATGGTGGAAGGGAAAGGGGAAAGGGAAGAAGGGAAAGAAAAAATTATGAGAAAAAAAAATGGAATCAAACTCTGTGTAAATAGGGAAGGGTGGAGGGGGTGAAGGGTGCACAGGTAATGGGAGAAAAACTTAAAACTAAGATACATCATGTTCAGGTACAAACACCCAATGATAAATGTAAATGTATTTTATACCTAAAATGTACCAATAAATATATATATTAAAAAAGAAAAAGAAAGTTTGTCTCATCAGTACTCAAAAGAATCTTTCCTCTCTCACCAGCCCCACCATCCTAGAAGGTTCCAAAAGACCATTTAGTGCACAGCAAAATCTGTGTCTTGTGGACAATAAATTATACCTGAACAATTAATTCTAAAATTGTAAAATGAGCCCTTCCCTAAAATTAAAACAGCTCACATGTCCACACTGATGGGACACACTGATAGGACAAATTCTTCCTGTGGCAATGGTGAACATATCCAGTGAAAAATGATAGATGGAACACAGTCACCTATGATTCAAATACCATTCAAATCATAAAGGGATTGGGGGAGCATCTGGAAATTGAATCCAGGGCCTCAAACAATGCTAAGTACACTCTTGAGTATACTCTACCATTGCGTTCTATAAAGGGATCCTTAAAGGAATAGACACCCAGCACTCTGGGAGGCTAAGGCAGGAGGTCACAAGTTCAAGCTCAGCCTGGTCAACCTAGCAATTAAACAAGAACTTGTCTAAAAATTTTTTTAAAAACTGTAAAGCCTAGGGCTGTAGTTCAGTTCAAACCCCAGTACTACACACACACACACACACACACACACACACACACACACACAGGAATAGACACACAAGAAGAAGAAGAACGAGAAACAGCAGGAGTGCCGTTTTGAAAGCTGATAACAGATGAACAAAGCTGAGAGAGGAAGCTGAGAGAGGAAGCTGAGGCCCAAGCTGATGTACACTATGGAATCCCCACTCACCCAAGAGAGAGGGATTGGTAGATCAGAGGTGCCTGGTACAGGGTGACACCAGGAGCCAAAACCCAATCCTCCTCCTCCTCAGCACAGCACCCCTGCCACCTCAGTGGAGAACCGGATGCTGAGGCTCTAGAAAGTCAAACAGCCAGCCCTGCCCCAGGGACCTCGAGGACCCGGGTGGGTGGGGGGAACAGTACCCAAAACAGGAAATTCAATTACAGCTTAAAGATTGGATATCAAGACCCACAGACTCCTTCCCTCGCTCAGATCTCAGAGCGTGGCAGAAACAAAGGCAAGAGGTTGGAAAATTCTTCACAGGGCAACCTGACCAATTCAAGGGAACAGAGCTCTGCATACCAACATTATTTGTCTTGTGTCCTCTAAGGATGAATGACAGATGTGAAAAGAAGTTTCTTCTGCTTTTATCCCAGGGAATATGTCAAGGAGAATTACCTCCTGTCAGGGGAAACACACTTTCTGACACTCACTCCACTTCATCTCCCACCATTTTCATTCAGAGGAGGGGAAGCAGTGTATTGTATTTGACACATATGATTACAAGTTTCCAGAATCGACTTCTGTTTCTGCTGTTGTGATTGTTTCTCAACACAGCTGCGCTAAATCATCCAAGAGCTAGGGTCACCTCTCTTCAAGTAAAACTACCTGGGGAGCTTTAAAACTACCAATCCTAGAGCTCCTAAATTCTGATTTAATTAGTTGAGGGAGGAGCCAAACACCTCCCCCCTCCAAAAAATAAATTAAAATAAAAGCTCCCCAGGTGATTCTAATGTGTAGGAAAAGTTGGAAACCACCACCTTTAAATAAGGCCTGCAAATGACAGCACACTCCTGTGATCAGAGCTGCCAGTAGGCCTTTTGAATGGACTTCTAGATAAGACTGGACAAGGAAGGGTTACCAAGTATCTTTTAAAAAACTTAACATGAAAGACAGGCCAAGAAAATCAATCTGGTGGGAACAGAAATGATACAGGAAGAGAAAAATCATTAAGCCAGAAATAGATGATTAATTTCGCAGTTAGATCTTAGACTGAGAGATTAGAAAAAATACTAGGTCCATGGAATCAGAATAAGATTCTGTCTTGAAAAAGAAAAAGAAAAAGAAAGAAACATTTACAGAAACAACAACAACAAAAACTTAATAGAGCAGAAATAAATTTGGGAGTTAAAGATGAGAAATCTCCCCCAAAAGTAGAACAAAAGATAAAGAAAAAATAGAAGAGAAAATGAGAGAGTAACTTTAAGAAGTCCAACATCAAAATAACAGACATCCCAGAAAAAGAGAAAAGGAAAACAGAGGGGAGAAAACACCAAAGAAATAATTCAAGATGAAAGCCTGGGTTTTCAGATTAACAGGCTCACCAAGCACCAGCATAGCAGATGCAAGCAGACCCACATGAAGGCATGGAATGATTAAATTTAATCATTGAACTTCTGCTCATTAGAAGCCAGAAGATAATGGAGCAATTCAAATTTCTGAAGGAAAATTATCTCTATCTAGAACCTTCTATCAAACTGTTAAATCATCAATTAACTATAAGAATAGGATATTTCTGAATTTGGAAAATCAGAAATGTTCTCTCTCTCTCTCTCTCTTCTGAAACAGGCTAGCACAGGAGAGAGGAAAGGAAAATATCCACAAAGATATCAAAGGGAACTCCTGGATGAAATGAGCCAGCCTTCTCTGTAGCTAAGATGTGAAACTGTGACCTTAGCCCCACCAGTGGGTTGCATCAACGGAAGGTTTCATCTGTAGAGAAAACAATGCAAAGAAACAGAAGCCATTTTCAGGGAAAGGTAGAGAATGAGGCATCTAATCTTCAGGGAGAGCAGTGGAGGTATTGGCATTTTTGACATCCAGCCCTGCCCCTGGTTGTGCAACCTCCAAGCCTGACTCTCCTCCCTCCTGAAGATTCTGGAGCTAGTAAACACCCTGTAACAAATTCTTCTTCAAACCAGAAAGTATTCCAGTTTTTGCAACTAAGCCCCTGATGGATAGAGGTATGACCGAAGATTAAGGACTAAATTCATAAGTACAGGCAGGTGGTACACAACATTTTGGTGCACAATAGACCATGTGCAACACAGTGGTCCCATAAGATATTATCTAGTAACATCATCATCATCTTACTTTGTGTAAGTACATGCTATGCTATTGGTACAATGACCAAATTTCCTAACAATGCATTTCTCAGAATGTACCTTTGTCTTTAAACAATGTGTCATTATGTACACAGAAATTGAAGTAAACAGAAAGGCAATCATCAACTCCAGGGGGAAAAAATGCATAAGAAAATGGAGGAACCATAGTCCAGTGATGACAAACCTTTTACAGACCAATCATCCAACT